TACATCATGAACTTAATCTTGAAATAAATTCTACGAGGCTTATACAAGCTTATTGCATCGAGCATAAAATTAATGACTCCTTTTATTAGTGGCATGAATATATGATTGAGTAGCTTTTAATTCATTATCCTTCTACCATATCATGGGTAGCATATCATGTGTACTCAGGCCCGTAGCCAGGATTTGCCAAGGGTGGGGGGCCGTTCAGTTTTGAAAAATTTCCAGGGGGGTTCACATTTGAAAATTTTGGCCCAAATATGACTAAAATCACTTGAGAAGTGCTCAAAATGGTAAAAAAACTGCATGATTTTGAAAGAATCTTTGGCCAGGGGGGGGGGGGTTCGTCCAAACCCTGCGAACCCTATGGGCCTGTATACTTATCATACTTTTAACTCAAAGTTCTTTACAAGAAATAAAATAAAATGCATTCTGCATTCACTATAATGCCTGAATATTTCAATCAATCAATTAATTAAAGTCTGCAATCCTACAAATTTCAAAGTCATAACTAGATTTATTTAGTTTTCTATCTGACATTGAACTTTTGATTCCTCCCCTATTAAGTGTCACCCATTTTATGTATTATATTTTTGTCTGTATTTGAAATAAAATATATAAATAAAATTCCACGGCATATTTCAGACCTCCGTCAATTCTTTGATAAAAACATATTACGCTCAGTTTTCTCCTCCCTCTCATGGAGTGCCCAGCAATTGTATAAAGAAACAATTCATACTATCACTAGGTGCCAACTACAACCGCTTATTTGAATTTTAGACCTACCAGGTTTTTGAAAATCAAGTATTGTGAGTCTCATACTGCACTATTTTTTCTTCAAACTTGTTCCAATAAAAGGAAAACAAAAATGCCTTTCTGGCGGTATGTTACTTTATTGCACAAAGTCCCTCCTTTTAGCGGCATTTGAGTCCCAACCTATGAAAAGCACTTCGGTGCAGTATGAGACTCACAATCCTTGATTTTCAAACATCTGGTAGGTCTAAGATTCATATTAATGGTTGCTCTCCCCCTTGACCATTATCTTGCATAAATTACTGAAAGATGAATTATTACATGTATATGGAATGAATATTTACTTAAACATTGTCATGATGACATGATCACATCGACAGGATACATCAGAATGATAGTTCTCTACATTTATCTCACAAATCTCCCCCAATCATATAATAGGGAGTTTAAGCTTGCCATGTTCTTCACAACCTAAACGATTTGGAATACAAATGTATATTAAGCATTTAGATACAGGATGATCATTAGACAGTAGGGAGTTTAAGCCTGCCGTGTTCGTCACAACCTAAACGTGAACAGAAAATATCTAAGTGATGCATTTGTATGGGCGATAGGTTGCCTTTTCGATTTTATATGCAAGCTTAAACTCCCTATTAACTCGTCCAGGACAATTCTGATTAATAACATTTAATGAATTAAACTAGGTGAGCGTGTGTTGATTTTACATAAAATAACAATTGAAAATTAGCATCAAAAGCAATAATTCATTAAATTCTAAAGTTCACGATATTTGCACAACAATTGATAATTGATCATTAAGTAAAAAATGAACAAATAAAAATGCATCACTGTAAATGCCAAACAATTCAAAGCAAATGAAAAACCAGATATATTTCTAATAAAATTACAGTAAAAATATCACTAAATGTTATGAAAACATTATTAACTAACATCAAAAAGATATATAGTTTTTGGGTTCATCATTATATGAGTCAAGTCCAATGACTAATAAATATAATACTGCAGCACTGCTTCATGATGTTGGTGAAGAAAAGCTACAAAATTCCAACTCTTATACGAGAGTATATGCAGACACAATTAGATTTCTGCCAAGATTTCTTGTTTTTGGAAATGCTGCCAATAGTGACATTTTTTTAAAAAATCGAAAGATTGGAGAATGTAGAAAATTTACAAACAAAATAATCACAACATAATCTTTCATGAAATATTCCCTATAAAACAGTTCCAACATGGCTCTTCGATCAAAATATTTGAACCCAGGCTGAAATGTGGCTGAGATGCCTAAAATCAGGCTGAAATGCCTGAAACCAGGCTAAAATAAGAAAATGCCTGAATTTGGATAAAATATATAAGAATATGGACATTATTAAAAAATTGGACATCGGCCAATGATGTCATGGAAAAAACCAGTCTGTAAAATAACTTTAAGTTTCTCATTATTCTAGCTCAAAATAATAAAGTTAGGTCATGTGATCTACATTCATTGTAGCTTTATCGTAAATCCTTGACTGCTACAATGTTATAAAATATATCATTTGACGACTTTGTTTAAAACTTAGCATTAATATTGGTGTGGGTGATGAGCATCTATTACTAGACTCCATAACTATATTCTACAACTACTGCACATTAGAGTCAGAAATAGTTTTTGATGTATGATCAGGTTTCAATATTATTACAAGATATTATGGGTTAACTGAAGATGTGGAAAAACAAGACTAATGATGAGATATTTATGTGCCAAGTTTGTAGTTGATGGTTAGCCTATAATAACAGCAGTGTATATGCCAATGATAACATATACATTTGGTTAGCAGGAATCGATACGAAATTGTAGATGAGAAGACAGGAGGCGAATCAAAGACTGAAAAGATGGACAAATTACATGTAGCTATCTAGTGAATGAATTCTTGGACTTTTTTTGAAAATCAAGCCTGATTTTTCAATCATACTGTTAACTGTTTACACATGAAAGCCATATTTAAAAAAAAAAATGAAGCCTTATATTTAGAAGTCTAAAATAAAGAAATTCTTCAATTTTCTTGGGTCTACCTTATGCGGGGGGAGGGTGCATAAAACAAAGTGACTATACACATACAGTATACAGGAAATCGATTTTACCATTTTTATTCATCCATTCTCATTACAACTGTAAGCAGTCAAATGAATCAAGATGCTAATCACACCAATTCCTCCTTTCCAATGATACCTTTATATGAGAAAGCACCCGAATGATGATGACGTAAGCTTCACTAGTATATTTATCCATCTCTATAAATTTCTTCATCTGCGTCAGGATCTTACATTTGTTTCAAGATGTTCCAGATGGACTTAGCTTCAATATCATGAAAGTACCATGAACCACCCGGATTCACACTCCAGGTTAATACCTTAATTACATTGGTACCTGGACCGCAGTCTGAACCAAATGAACTGTGAATTTACCCTGAGATCATCCCCTTGTAAGCCCCCCTCTCACGAGGACTGATAAATCGAAATCAGAAACCACTGCAGAGCCATCATATTCACTTGTCACAAGTGAACCCCCCCTGGAATTTTTCAAAAAGTGAACCCCCTGGCAAATCCTGGCTACGGGGCTGATTGTGGTATCAACACTACTACAGAAATAGGGCTAATCACATTCTAATCTATTGAACCCTCTGTTATATCATAGAAAGAGCCAGAGCTGTTGATACCATAATGGCTTAATCAGGTAATCTCTCATTAGATTAGGATATTTACTACACATGTGTCTACAATTTCAATTAACGATTTGATGATACTGCAATATTTCATGAAAAATAATTTGATATCTGATAGCATGATACAATTAAACAATTTAATCAGCAAACATTTAATATCTAAACTGGTCAATTAATACAGAACAATAACACAAATTAACGATTTCTAGGACATTTGAACACTTTACAAAATATAATTAGATATCTGATAGCGAGAGATTAAAAACAATATAACATGGGTATGTATGTTTGATATATTGGTGTGAAACAACAAAATAATGCAATTGTTGGTATAGTAATAGGAACTAAAGAATTTGGTCATATGTTATACAATAATACAATATAACAATTAGTGCTAATACAATAAAATGTAATGCGAATTAGCCGACTTGGCATCATTGCAAATGAAGTTTATATCTTTGAAAATAACAAATCTCCTACAAATTCCTAAAACTGGAGCTAGGTTACTTTGTGCAGAATTTCAATTGATTGCAAAATATCTGGCACATCTCTTTCACATACATTTCTTAATTGGTGCTTGATAACAATACTTTGTAATGCACAAATAATACACATACACTGCCATTATGCTTAATATAATTTCTTACAACAAAGAACAAGCTCAAATAAAATGCTGTACCATGATGTTCCCCATCTTAATCCATCAAGGTATTTCATATGACTGAAAGAATACACTGGTTTAACAGAGCAGCAGTGATCTCCCAGGCCCGTAGCCAGGGGGGGTTCGGGTGGTTCGGGCGAACCCCCCCTGGCCAAAATTTCTTTCAAAATCATGCAGTTTTTCACCATTCTGACAATTTTTTGAGTGATTTTTGGCCAAATTTGCCAAAGTGAACCCGCCCCCTAGAATTTTTTGGAAAAATGAACCCCCCCTTGGTAAATTCTGGCTACGGGCCTGTCTCCCCAGCATTAAACCAAGTAAGATTACAACAGATGCTTTCAGGGAGCTGTCACATATTCCAATCAATACAGCTATAAGTTCAAGTGCCCTGGATGCTAAATATGAATAAATAAAATATGAAAGGATCATAATAAAATATATTCAGATGAAAAATGTTTACAAATATTCTATAATTGAAACCATAAGTACAAGCATTTGTATTATTGAATTGCACTGCATTGCATTTTATTTTTATTTAGCCTATTAATGTGAGCAATACCCCACTGGCATGTTCTGTGTTAAACTCTAAGAAGAAACACTTGAAGACCCGACAAAAATCAATAAAAAAATAGACATTCAATCATCAACACTCAAATCATATTAAATATTCTAAAACACCAGGAAACTTATAACCGGATACTTCAATTTAATCACGATTTATTCGTAGACTATGTCAAACAAGCACACAACAAACCTTACACATGGGAACGAAGCATCACGGAAAAGTATTCAACATTGATTATAAATATGACCATCCAATCAATGCTTACTATCACTGCAAGCAATTCGACACACAAGCAGCAAGCTTGCAATCTAACTGGACTCAACATCTGATACGGATGTATATTATTAGCGGATATCAACCATCAAGTAAGTGAATTGATTCAATTTCTACAAATAGAGCACACTCATTCCATTGATGGATAGATTTGACAGCACTGCTGAACATAAGGTAACTTAAACTACATGTGAATGTATATATAAGTAACTATATTTATAAACTTCATCTATTGATGTTTCTGGAACCAGAAAATATCAATTTTTCTACTCTGCTTGATGTGAAATTGGTAATATAATACCATTTATAGTTTTTTATCCAATTAGTTATTACAAAGAGCAATCATATAAATTCAATTAACATGATCAAAATATCAATAATATCAACAATTGGTAATAAAACATATGTAATTTGAAACAGCAATTTCATCTCATTGAAGGGGGATGTTCAAAAACATTGTGGATAATCGGTAAGTAAATATCTATTTATAGGAGAATAAGACCAGGATATATTAAAGCTGGACTTCGCTCCGAAACGCAATCTTGGGTTGTTTCGGGGGTGAACTTTATCATTTTGAGCTTAATGAAAGATTATAGAATGATGAACAAATGGGGCAAATCTTGTGTAGAAATACTTACGATAAATGTGTCATTTCAAAGATTTTTCATTGAATTTGCTTCAATCGGAGCCGGCGATATGATTTTGGAAAGGTTTCTAAATGAAGAACGTGACGTCACTTCCGAATCTTAGCATTCAAAATAAGTAGCGTTTAATTACTTCCACCATTCATAATAATATGGTGGTGTAGCGGTAGAATCCTCGCTTAGCTCGCGGGAGGCCAGGGTTCGAATCCCGCATTCGCCTTTTTATTTTTTTAACTAAATGATTGTTGTTTGATATTACGCAGAAAAAAACAATTTTTATTTACATAAACTTTATATTAGAGCTTGAAAATGTAAAAACAATATATGTCAACATATTTTGTTTTGGAGCGATGTGCAGGTTTAATCATAGTGAGACAAGGTATATCAAAAAATGTCAGTTTGAACAAAAACTGACCTTTTTTTATTCATTATACAAAGAAATCTTTAAAAAGTCAAAAACCATTAAGATAATCTTTGGCACACAGATTAAACAGCATAAAAACTAATCAGTTCTAGATTTTTATACAAATAAGTGACACTGAAAATCTCAAATCAATCTGTAAAGCGGTTTGTCTGGAAATGTGATATTCCACCCGCAAACCCACCCACCTGCCAAGCTAATGACAATACAGTAAAACCTGTGTAAATTGAACATTTTTTTGCAGAGAAAAAACGTTCAGTGTTGGTAGGTGTTCACTACAGAGAGAGTAATTTATACAGAAGTCAGCAGAGTATGTGTGGAGGAAGGGTGTCTACTTGAGCAGAGAGAGAGAGTGGTGTTCACTAAGACAGGTTTTCTATATTATACTTTTTAGGTATGATGATAACAAGGCATTAAAGTGAGAAAATCACCACCTTGAAAAGTGGAGTGATTGATACAGACACCGATGCTGAATTTCTCGGCAGTGACCTAAAAATTATCAAGAAAATGAATTACAAATGGAAATGAACACATTATATCTATCATGTACCTTATCCATGTCACTGTCATTAATAAATTCAAACATGACAAAAAACATCTCTTCGTAGATGTAAGGAGCAGCTATGCATGGAAGAATGATTACATTTGACTGACATACCCATTCATCTAACAACATCTTGGATGTTTGCAAGATATTTATCATAATTATCAGATAAAAATTGATCTTTTCCATAACTCAGAGCACTATTAATAAGCGCTCACAAGATACTAATTTTTTTCATTATTCAGTCGAAGAATAGAGATATTTCGACACGGCTCTGTTCCCTATAATTATGAATCAGCAAAACAAGACAACAACAGTCAACACAAACCTGTTTTCATTTCTCTAGAGCTCTATCACTGAACACTAAGAGTATATTAATCGCATTATTGAACAACGATTTCCAATAGGCTTGTTTTTCATTAGAATTTGCACAAACGAGACAAGACACTGCGTTATTTATACAATTCTTTGAGGACAGCTGATGGAATATAAATCAAAGATTTTAATACATTAATCATCAGAACTAGTGTTTAAGTTATCAAAGATAATATTTTTTCTGAAAAATATCAGCCATTTTGAATTAAGTAGCCATATTGAAAATTCTTCTCTCAAGCAGTGGTCCTACACCTATAATGCTTAAAGGCAGGGCTCCACTATAAAAGCAGAAAGTCAGTTAGAAAATGAAGTAATAGCATGTTTGAATTTTAAATGTCTACAGAATCTGACACCTAAAACCTGTTTTTCCATATATCTCTAGTATTTTTGCACAGAATCAGCTAAATTTTGTCACAATTATTCATGAATATATTCTGAATCAGATGGTCATTATATTTTTAAATAGTAGTACCTATCTGGGTTAAATTTGACGATGGCTTCTCTATATCCCCCTGGAACTTCAATGGGATAATAATAAACATATTGACCTCCTGATTCCATAGAATGAATGACAAAATAACTACTAAAAAGTAATACTCTGTGACAATCACCAGAAGAAGATGGGTGACATTTTCTAATACCCATTAAAATAAAATATTGCACCCATTAAGAAATAATGATATGATTTCTCAGTGTAGTGTAGGGGATGTCCTCTTAATGGAACTATCAACTAAGAAGATGAGGAACAGTCCCATCAACATTAAAAGGTAATACAAGACCTTTTATAATTATTTCATTGCAGATATTGAGTAGAAGGATCGTGCAGAGTTTATCAACTAAGACGGGATGGGGATGATTCCTAGAACGACTTAATGGTAACATAAATCTGTACAGTAATACAATGTTATGATTCTTTCATTTCAGAAACAAATGCGGACAAATTAGACACGAGCTTCGTTAGCGAAATTGAGATGACTCAACTACATGTAACTCAACTACATTGAACACCTGGAGAATCAATAAATAAAGAATACAAATACATCAGGGATTTTCCGATACTAATTCTCTATGTGAATTTGAGATACTGACATCACGGATGTAAAGATTAATTAATTGTACTGTCTATCAACTTCCATTAACTCGAGCATATATACTCTCAAACCAAACTGAATTTGATGTGAGATACAATAGAAAATGATTTCATGTTTTATGAAACTATTCATAAACACAATACAGTTATAGTAATTTCATATAAAACCACTCTTGGGGAAATTATAGTTTTTGGAAAACTGAAGGAATATTGTGAAATATCTAATTGATCCTAAAGTCACAAGAAAATGGCGATAACAAATGTGACGTTTTCAACGATAGACACCAATGGCAGTTATGGACCAAAAATACAGCCTATGGATGACGATAATGGCAGTTCCCGTAATGAATTCGATCCAGTGGATTATCCTGATACAGCGAGACTTGTGACAATTATAGGTGGCGCTATTATACTGCTTGGTGGATTATTCTTGAACTCCATGACAATAAAGACAATTTATAAAACCCCAAAGTTACATAACGTCACATACTTGTTCCTGGTCCTACTCAATGGTAATGATATTGTCTTCTCTGTTTGGTCGATTACCTTCATTGTAATCACAGACATTTATAACAAATGGATCTTTGGATCAGGTTTCTGCCAAGCGTTTGCCTTCGTTAATGGAACATTGCTCGGACTTGAACTATTCATGCTTATGTTTATAACAATGAGCCGTTACATCAAGGTTGTCCACCCCCAGTATTTCAATATCATATTTACGAAGAAGTCAATCATGGGTATGATTTTATTTGCGATTATATTCGTCACAGCCTGTTTGCTTCCTCCTTTGACAGGCATGTGGGGGGAAATTGAATATATCGCACGTAAGAACATATGTAGCTTTAAGGATAAGAATGACAATTATCATATGTTCCTAGAGGGCATCACAGTATTGCTTCCACTAACTGTCATCATTATAAGCTACGTCAGAATATACATAGTGGTTCATAACCAATCGAAAACTCTTAAACGTCACAGTCTCATGCCCAATGGGGACACGAAACGTCCACCTAGTAACACAATGCTTAAACGTAAAGAACGCCAGCTCACAAAAACACTAGTGGCTCTCGTTGTGACATTCATTCTCTCGTACACTCCATATTTGGTTGTAGCTGGTGTTGATAAAGAAATCCAGTATCCTATTTTACATAGAATCGCAACCATATTGCTATGGTCGAACTCATGCTGGAATAATGTTGTATTAGTTGGGATGAATTCACAGTTTAGGGATTATTGGTTGGCACAATTGAAATGTAAGGACGTCCCCGCAGACCACTCCCCAGTCGTGAAAAGGGTCTCCGACTCAACGAACATTCCACCAGAGTGAGTGTCTATAATTGTAAAAATTCTGAGCTTAGATGTCATTATGGTCACACTAAATACACAAATGAGACTGGTCATTAAAAACTGATGAAAATGTTACGGATGTGAGACGAATAATTTCAAAACCTTTCCGAAGACTTGGACTCAGATGTTATCTTTGTTACATTCAATCAATCTAATGTGGAATTTTCTGAAGACAGTCAAATTGGAGATAAAGGTAAAATATAGATATATATATATGTATATACAGGGCGTTAAATAAGTACTGATAAAGGTAAAATAAATTTATATGTATATACATGTGGAGCAAAAAGAATGGATTCAAAAAAAGAAATAACAAGGTAAAATAAAAAAACAGTAACACTGAACAATGGGTTCTTAATGAAATTGTGGCATGAGATAGATGTTTAAAAGAGAAATCAATGCACTATTAAGAAATATATAGATGTACATTTGTTTGAAAATTTATTCATTGAACTTGTTAAACACTAATTGAAATTGTAAAAGCACTCTTTGAGAATTTGGTTTTTGATAAATATTTCGATTCCACCGAAGCAAATATTTTTGTTTGTTATTTTTGAAATATTTTTCCTATCTTCATTTATTTATGTTAAACTTAGGGAAATATATGAGGAAAATCCAATTATCCAACATTTGATCTTAATAATGTGGTTTATTGTGTCAAAGAATCAATATTCACCTGTCGGGCCGATTCAAAAGTAATAGACCAAATTTTTCTTTGGGAAGAGTCATTTCATTTACAGTTTTGAGAATGGTCAGGGTTTGATTCAAAATAGAACCATTTCATTCTCTCAGGAAAATTGACAGGATCCCTTATTAGACCATTGTAATAAACTTTTCACGTTAGATTGATGAATTGTAACGATGTTTTCCATCATGAACATCAAGCCAATAATCGATGACATGATTGATTTGTGTCTCAGTTTTTTCAATAGGCTCAGGAAGGCTACATGTAATCATGAAAGAGGCTTGGGAGACTTTCTTATCCTAAAATACACAAACATTTTAGGCTGTTAAAAATAAAAGGTCATAATATAGCACCCAAAGGTGCAATAAAAATGGGACATTTTAGAGAGAGAGAGAGAGTCCTCTTAAGCTACAATAAGTCGTCGCATGAGAATAACTTTGTACTATCTCACATTTTTACGGAACTGAGAAATCAAGGTTTGAAAGTTTAGAGGTCTGTATCTTACTTAGTATTGCTATGTGAAACTTGATTTTTTGTATGTCACCTGGTCTCACCCTAGAGATATCTTATATGAAATATCATACCTTGAAACAATTTACAAGATCCTTTTTTAAAACTATGGAAATGGAGTTGATACAATTTCCCACCGGAATAACAGCTTATTTCTAATTTCAAATTGTCATATCTGATATCACCTGTTTCAACCAATCAACTCTCTAAGTATTGGTCATGTGACTTGCAAAACTTGGAGTTATAACAATCTTATATTAAAACAAAGTATGCCAATATGCATGTTATTGTATCTAGAATGAAAAATAATGTTTTGCTTTGTAAAAAAATCTTCAAAAACCAAAGAATATTATTTAATAAAATAAAGAAAATTCAATTTATAAAACTTTAAAATCAATTTCTCAAATAAGTACAATTATTTCTTAATTTTGGAATCTCAGGACACCCTTCAAAAAGAATTTATTGCATTTGAAACCAAGGCAGAAGTACAATGCATTGAAACCAATGACGCCAATACGGTCCCCCACATATTTCCCTCGGTATAAACCCTGTAGCCTAAACCTCCCATTGTGGGATCCACAGCCTTTACTATCCTTTTAGTTCAGAAGCGTTAGGTAAAGAGGGACTCTGATAAATCAGAATGTAAACCTCCCAGCACATTACAATGTAGCCCCTAAGGGCCGGTCCGCTGGTCATTATCAGGTTATTTTCGATACAGACTAGTTGATTTTTTCACTGGGTATAGGAGAATAACATTGCAACTGGTCCGTAATTCCATTTTGACCAGCAGGTTTCAGATCCTTAGGGCCTAAGACATAACCAATTTTTATTACATGTACATGGAAGAAATTTGAAAATAGAAAAATAATTTCTAATTCATTTTAGATTAATGAAAGTGATGAAACCTCGATTTAGGTAATCACATTTTGTTCATTGGGATGCAGCTATCATTATCCATTCATTTTCTGTGGTTTGCTACTCTGTGGAGTACAATTGGGAATTGAAGCAATTGTAGAAGTGGAGACTAAGAGTGGCTCTTTGTAAAGAAATTGAACCAATTTGTTACTTTTCCAAAATAAAATGGAGATGATCTAAAAACAATGATCCCAAAAATGCAAAAGAAAAGACAAATCTGAAAAACATACTAGTAATAAAATAACTAAAAAGATCCCAGATGTTCAGTGAAAAGCACAAAGTAAATCATAGATGAAGAAAAAATAAAATAAGTGTTTTAAGGGACTATACTTACATAAAGATAACTCGTTATTGATATAGTGTATGGTCAGTAAAAGTTAAAGCTAGTTTAAATAGATTTAGCTTTTTTCCACAAACTATAAAACATCATTTTGAAAGAGATTTCAATAGTATACAGACAGTGATTGCCTTTGAGCAATGTAGTGTACAAATAGTGACTGCCATTGAGGGAAATAGTGCAAAATATTTTCCTCAAGGGAATATCCTGTCCACTGACATGTTCCCGAGGCTGCAGGCCGAGGGAACAAGTCAGTAGACAGGATATTCCCGAGAGGAAAATTTTTACACTATTTCCCGAAAATGTGGCAGTCACTATTTGTTTTATTATATACCTGATAAAGTACTCTTTAAACAAAAACAAAATGAGAAGTCTTTTCATGTCAATATCTGGTGATTAGTACAATTCATCTTCCCTGAAAGCAGGGATTTAGGACTTTCCAGGGAATTTTTTCATCTATTCCATGTCATGTGACCATGAATAAGCCAATGAGCATCTAGAATACATTTGAGGTATATAATAATGCAAAATATGACAGTTACTATTTGTTTTGATTACTATATCTAGTATATAACCTATTATTATGTACTCTATTTGAAGAAACAAATAAGTAGTCTTTCATTTTCAACATTTAATGATGACAGCTCCGTGTATGCATTTCTATTGCCTTTGGCCATTCAAACCCCTATAAGACCTGGTAGCAGGGAAGATAAAGGGTACTTTTGACTGCTCACATGATCTAATTAACTGGTCATTTGTACTTTTCATCTTCCCTGGTAGCAAGGATTTAGGTTTTTGAGGAAATTAGTAATTCTATTTCATATCATGTGGCCATGAATAATCCAATGAGCATCCATAATAGAGTAATTGAGGGCATATAATTTGAATATGCATGGGATTACACATACTGTATCATTTTATTTTTTTGATCTACTTGTAATAGTTCTAAAACTAAAACATGAAAGGCCAGGCATGCAAACTGGCATGGTATTCCGATGTGTTACAAAACATTATTTCATTCTAGATACAATAACATGCATATTGGCATACTTCGTTTTAATATAAGATTGTTATAACTCCAAGTTTTGCAAGTCACATGACCAATTCTTAGAGAGTTGATTGGTTGAAACAGTTGATAACAGATATGACAATTTGAAATTAGAAATAAGCTGTTTGTCTGGAGATGGTACAATTTCACACTGAATTCTAGCTTAATGAGAGGGAATTGAGATGGGGCATGTATCTGAGCTGAAAGCCTGTGTTTCAAATAGTAAAATTCCATGTCTATCTCAATTTTTTTGAAAATGGCAGTTAGTACAAAGTTATTCTCACGCGATGAAGTATCTTATCATGCCCCATCCAACGCTCTCTCTCTATGAAATCTAAGTGTTAATACAGACTGTTGTTAATTCTAGTAATTGATCTCGGTTTCAATTTTCATGTGACCATGATGCCATCTATCCTCTTGGGTTCCTCGTGATGAAAATGTTGTTTGCACCAATAGGGAGGAGATAATGATGGTAGAGGTCAATGGCAGCACTGCATGTGAACCAAAAGCCTCTAACGGCCACGCTGACTGTCATGGTGATGTCACAGATTGGTTTTATTAAACCGTTGGCAGCTATGGAAGACGGATGATTGTACTTAATCCACCTTGAATCCAGAACAAAACTTCGCACAATTGATTTTTTATAAAATAAAACTTTGACTAGAAAACAGGAGCATCTTGCCTTAATTCCTGGTGCCTGCTACTAAGCCAATACATATGTTCAGAACAAAAACTTACTGAAGATTTATCCTCAGAGATAATATTCCCACACCATATGATATCATATCTGTTATGATTGAATAAATTAACATTAATGATGAATTTGTTATGGTGGAGCAAGGAGCATGGTCCTGAGGTACAACAACATAATGAGTGAATGGTGTCACTGATTTAAAATTAGAGAAAAAAGTATCAGACTATATTCAGGAAAATTGAGTAGACTCGGCAACACAGAAAATAGTCAAATACAGCCCTAATAAGTGGATAAACTGATCTCATGTATTCAAATCAGATGCATCCTCAATCCAAGGGACTGAGCTGGGGCTGGTCCATTTGTCAATGCTGGTTTTGATTCAGACCAGTTGATTACTATATCAAATACAAGAAAGTAACATTAAGACTAGTTCTAATGGCATTTTGACAAGTTGCTGTATGGCCAGTAACAAGAGACCTCCAAAAAGTGACCCCATTTTACATCTATTATGGGAATATAGGCTCTGTAGGCTCAAGGTCTGGAGGCCTACAATCTCAAACAATCATAGAGCGCCACACCAATGTTCTAACTTAGGAAGTTAGTGACACAGGCATATACAATGTTGAACAAATTAATACATATACGCATTACCACAACAGTTATGCTCAACTGCATTCAACTACACAGCCAATATAATTCGACGCCGTTTCGGCACCGAAAAAATTCGACACTGTTCCGGCACCATTTCGACACCGTTTCGGCACCGAAACCTTTCGACACCAAAATTTGCTATCGGACTAGTCAGTCCATTTGGTGCCGAAATGGCACCGAAATTTGGCACCGAAACGGTGTAGCTCACCAACAACAGTATTTGAAGTACCAGCTTCAGAGGTACATATTTTCGTGTCATATGATATATTCAATTTCAAACATAAGATTATGTGTTTTAACTTTATGTTTATTGATGATACTTTTTGTCTTATTGTTTAACATTGCATTAAGAACTTTTTGAGACAGTGAAGTTGTTGCTATGGATACTACATGATATTATACTCAAGGAATAAGGACTGAGATTTTATGATTTATGGCGTAATAAATGACCGCATTTTTATTCTGGTCATTGTTAAAAGACCAAAATCGCGTAGCGACTAGCGATTGAGGTCTTTGGCAATGTTCAGAACAAAATATGAGGTCATATATCTGACATAAATCATAAAATCAAGGTCTTTGTTACGATTCTAATATGATAAACAGACAAGAAACACTGTTATATGCATTTAGGAAAAGCGGTCATACATACTCCAATATAGACCAGTAAATCAATTGTCCTAACTATTGTGACGTCACGTATCATATTAGAAACAGCATTACATGTATATATATATATATTATTTTCTCCTTCAAAAGCATTTACTAGGTCATTTAGGATATTTATATTTCATTTTGTAATGATGGAGTATCTTTTGGGAGATAATCATATTTTAAATTACAAGAAAGGTTAATTGTACATATTGCTTGTA